ATTTTATTCATTTATTTGACAGAGAGAGAGAGAGACAGCAAGAGAGGGACCACAAGCAGGGGGAGTGGGAGAGGGAAGCAGGCTTCCCGCTGAGCAGGGAGCCCGATGCGGGGCTCGATCCCAGGACCCTGGGATCATGACCTGAGCTGAAGGCAGACACTTAATGACCGAGCCACCCAGGCGCCCCTGGAGTCATTTCTTTAGCCCAGTACAGTTTTGCTCTCATCCACCTCATTTGTGCACATATATTACATGTCTAGATTATTTGCTCAACAATGCACTACATATATATTGTTTTATACAATTGCTTTTAAAATCTTTTAAGAGAAAAAAGAAACAAATTAGTATTTATACGATCTTGTATAATTACATAATCACCCTTACTTGTGCCCTTTTTTTTTTCGTGTAGATTCAAATTACCATTTGGAATCACTAGCTTTCAGACTGAGGAACTTCCTTTATTTAGTATTTCTTTCTTTTTTTTATTTTATTTGACAGAGAGAAAGAGAGAGAGAGTACAAGCTGGGAAGCAGCAGGCAGAGGGAGAGGGAGAAGCAGGCTCCCTGCAGGGAGCCCGACGTGGGGCTTGGTCCTAGGACTCTGGGATCGTGACCTGAGCTGAAGGCCAGCGCTTAACTGACTGAGCCACCCAGGCGCCCCTATTTAGTATTTCTTGTTAGGCAAGAGTGCTTACCAATGAATTCTCTCGGTTTTTGCTTATCAGTAATGTTATTTCACATTCATTTTTTTATTATTTATTTATTTATTTTTGAGAGAGAGAGGGTGTGAGCAGGGAGGAGGTGCAGGGGGAGAGGGAGAGAGAGAATCTCAAGCAGGCTTCCCACCCAGTGCAGAGCCTGACACGGGGCTTGATCTCACGACCCTGAGATCATGACCTGAGCCGAAATCAAGAGTCCGACGCTTAACTGGCTGAGCCACCCAGGTGCCTCTCACATTCATTTTTTAAAGATAGCTTTTTTGGTTATAAGATTCTTGGTTGGCATTTTTCATTTTTCTTTGAGCACTTTGAATATGCTATCCTCCTGTCTTCTGGCCTCCACTGTTGCTGATGAGAACTCAGCTTTTAATTTCATTTGGGTTCCCTTGTAAGTGACAAGTCATTTTTCTCCTGCTCTCTTTCAAGGTTTTCTTCCTTTTATGTGACTTTTAGGAGTTTTACTATCATACATCTGTTTGTAGATCTCTTCGTGTTTCTTACTTGGAACTCATTGAGTGTCCTAGATGTGTAGATGAATGTATCAGTACATTTGGGCAGTTTGGGGCCGTTATTTGTTCATTTTTTTTTCTGCTCCTTTTTCTCACTCCTCTCTTGGTTCTCATTATATATCAGTTAGTACACTGAGTGGCACCCCACTTTTCTCTGAGGTTCCATTCATTTCCCTTCATTCTTTTTTTTCTCTCTGTTCTTCTGATAGTATAATCTCTTTTGATCTATCTTCAAGTTCACTAATTCTTCTGACAGTTCAGATCTCTTCTTGAGCTATTCTAATGAATTTTCCATTTCAGTTATTATACTTTTCAACTCCAGAATTTCCATTGGATGCTTTTTTATACTTTCTATTTATTGATACTCTCTGTTTGATGTGATGTGATGTTTGTCATCATAATTTTACTTTACTTCTTTAATCATGGTTTCCTTTCATTCTTGGAACATACTCATGATGGCTACTTTCAAGTCTTTGTTGAATTTAGTATGTAGTCACTCACATAGGCAGATTCTGTTGCCTGCTCTTTTTTTTCCAGTGTATGAGTCATGCTTTCCTGTCCACATGCGTGTCTCATCATGTTTTGTTGGAAACCGGACATTTTAGATAATATATTGTAGCAACTCTCTGTTCTTCTTTCTTCTCCCCAGGGCTTGTTATTGTTATTTGTTTGTTTATTTGTTTGGTAAATGGCTGCATTATTTTAGTGAAGTCTAGTCCACTCCTAAATGTTAAGCATTTGATGTTGCTCCTCAGGGAGCACACAGCCCTGGGTGTGCACACAGTCACCCTTGAATGACAATACTTTTTACTGGGTTTTCTTTGGCTGTCTCTTTCTCTGACCTGAGCCAGCCATTAATTGCCAGCTAATTGCTCTATTGTTTTCACCGGTGCTCTGGGGCATAATTTCTCTGCAGATGAATCCAGTCAATTCCAGACACCTTTTTGGGGCTAATTCCTAAGGTCAATTTTTGAGATTTGTTCTGATCCCAGGAGGGCTCCTCCTAGCTGTCTTTTCCCCCAGTTCTCTCCCGCAAACTAGTCAGCCTACGGTTTAGGGTGTATAGTCAATAAATCTATCAAATTCTTTCCAGTTGCCTTGCATTATAACCTCTGCTCTTTTTGAGAGTATCCTTAGGATTGACTGTTTTCATTCTCTGTTGCAAATGCATCAGTTTCTGTGCAAATACATTAGGAGCTACCTGTTTTAAGGTCTGCTTTCCCCGCCCCCCCAGGCCAAATCTCTGATACCTCGCTCTGGAGGTAGGCAAAGTGGTGTGCTTATCTCTGCGTGACATTGCTACTCTAGGAGCTGAGCACTAGGTGTGGGTGTCAGATCTTCTTGGGTTGCCTCTGCAGGCACAGAACTACTGCCTTCCGATCACAATTGCCTTACGAGGACAATCAGGGAGTCCTCTAGGATTCGCAGCAGTACTACACCCAGGGTAGATCCTTCATGCCACCAGTAGGGACTGGGTAGATAAAAGGAGCCCCCAACCTCTCAGCCACATTGCTTGGACTTTAGAATCAACAATGGTTAGCTGGGGGTAAGATGAGAAATGCTGACATCCTGCCCCTCCCAGGAAGCTAGCCCTCTGAAAGGGAGCTGGGGGAGCGGCTGCCCCAGGCCCTTAGCTATGCCAATCTAGCCTGGAGCTGGGAGAGGCACTAAAGAGAACTGTTGTGGTTTAAAATCTTAAGACTCTGGGTGCCTGAGGGGCGCCTGGGTGGCTCGGTTGGTTAAGCGTCTACCTTCGGCTCAGGTCATGATCCCAGAGTCCTGGGATCGAGCCCCGATTCCAGTTCCAGGCTCAGCAGGGAGCCTACTTCTGCCCCTCCCCACTGCTCCTGCCCTCTCTCTCTCTCTGTCTTAAATAAAGAAAGAAAATCTTAAAAAAAATAAAATCTTAAGACTCTCCCTTAATTTTAGCAGATTTAAAAAAATAGATGTTTCCTAGTTTGCTACAGGCCCTTAGGACCAATGTTTGTTTTTTTTTATTTTTAATAATTTTCCCCAGTTTCCCCGGGAGGTAAGCCTGCAGAGCCCCTCATGGTCCCATGCTGGAAGTCCGTCTCCCCTGCTATGTTTAGGTCATAAATCCATATTTTACACCTCCGCCTTTGCTACTCTGCTTATTTCAAGTTTCTGTTTGCTCTCGCTTTTCCTTCATGGTAGCCTTCCTTCCGTCTGTGACCCCCAGTTTTGTTTGAGCTGTGCCATGTTACCCTTTGAGCCCACTTGTAGTTTTGAAATCTAAACAAAAACAATACAGTGAGTTTAAACAGAATTTTATTTGAAATACATTTTTGTTAATCTTAAAAGGTCTTTTTTCCATGAAAATATAAAATAAGGTATCTTGGTCCTCTTCCTGTTTTAACATGTTTTGAAACTTAAATTTTCATTAACTTGCTAATGTTATTTTAATAATGCTAATATTTAAGAAAATAATGCTAATATTTAAACAGCATCCTGCATTTAGATTTATTTTATTTTTTTAAAAGATTTTATTTATTTATTTGAGAGAGAGAGAGCACAAGCAGGGGGAACAGCAGCGGGCAGAGGCAGAAGCAGGCTCCCCGCTGAGCAGGGAGCCTCCTGATACAGGGCTTGATCCCAGGACTCTGGGATCATGACCTGAGCTGAAGGCAGATGCTTAACTAACTGAGCTGCCCCCGTATCTAGACTTAAAATCAGCAATTCCCACACGTTATTGCAGACCAATATACTTTGCTGGAGCTGAGGAAGGGGAGGAAGGGTCGTGGAAGGAGAATGGAAGCCATAGCAGCTCTCAGTGGGTGGGGGGGGGAGGGGTGGTAGGACACAGGGGACAGGGGACAGCAGTGTCAAATCTTGTCCTAGTTCTTTTTTTTAAGAGAGAGAGAGAGAATCTTAACCAAGCTCCAGGCTCAGTGAAGAGCATGATGCAGGGCTCGATCTCACAACCCTGAGACCATGACCGGAGCCGAAACCAAGAGTCGGCCGCTTAACAGGCTGAGCCACCCAGGCGCTCTCTTGTCCTAGTTGTTCTTAGATTGACAGTGAGAAACACTTTGAGAGTTGTTTGGGTTAATTTCAAGAGAGTGCACTTCTAGACTTGGGCTAAAGCAAACGGCTTTTGCTCATTGCCAGCTTCGTCATTTTCCATTTTAATTGGAAAATCTCAATGGAAATGATTCTAGTAAACAGTTTCCTAACCCCTACTTTTAGCTCTCTCTTCACTTGGTACTCAGTAGCAGCATTTCTCAGTTTCAATATTGCCAAAACTTTATGAAGATTTACTTCCTATTTTGGCTCCAACCTGAATAATCGAACATCAAAGTAGATACAGAAATCATTTAGTGCATTGATTTCAACACAGAGAAACATTCACTCCCCTTCCATTGATTAGAGGAGAGTAGCCTTGAATTTCATGTTTCGTTCTTTTTTTTTTTTTTTAAAGATTTTATTTATTTATTTGACAGAAAGACAGCGAGAGAGGGAACACAAGCAGAGAGAGTGGGAGAGGGAGAAGCAGGCTTCCCGCAGAGCAGGGAGCCCGATGCAGGGCTCGATCCCAGGATCCTGGGATCCTGACCTGAGCCGAAGGCAGACGCTTAACAACTGAGCCACCCAGGCGCCCCTGTGTTTCGTTCTTAATCTTTAAAAAAGAGGCTCTCGTAAGAAGTCCCGGGTGGAGTCATTCTAACTGGGGAGGAAGTAGACACTAAGCGGTCGCATGTCCAGGATATCATCAAGGAAAAACCTATTATGCTTCTTGTCTTTCTTACGGCCAGGATATCCCATACCAAAGCTTGACGTGAGCTTTCCATTGGAGCCTCGGGAAGAAGCGTGGGTGAAGGAACTACAAGATTCCAAAGAAATGAAGCAATTACTTGATTCCAAGATAGGTAAGTAATTGTTCACTGATACCACAGAAGAGAGAAAAGAGAAATTCAGCCTTGATCAGGAGAGAGAGTTTGGGATTCTCCATAGGAATTTCTGTTTTCCTACTGGTGGTTTAATACAGCTCTTCACTTTCCCTCGTGTTTTTGTTTTTTTTTCCTCCGTGGGACACGGTGACAGCTGCCATTTCTCTGTCTTCTCTCAGGTTTTGAGATCGGGATAGAAAACGAAGATGATACTTCAAAACAGAAAAAACTGGAGAACATGTACCCATTTATTGTTACTCTAGAGGGGAATGCTCTCCACGGGCCCATCTTGCAGAAGGACTATGTACAGTTGGAGAATCAATGGGAGAGCCCCCCAGAGGATTTACAGACAGATTTAACAAAACTGGTAGATCATCAGGACCCCCCAGCAGGAGAGAAACCTGAAAATTCCAACGTGGAAGAACCTCTTAACCCCAGGCCCCAGAAGAAAAAGAGTCCAGGGGACAAACCTCACCGATGTCCTCAGTGTGGGAAGTGTTTTGCTCGGAAGTCACAACTTACGGGGCACCAGAGAATTCACTCAGGAGAGGAGCCCCATAAATGCCCTGAGTGTGGAAAAAGATTCCTCCGTAGTTCAGACCTTTATAGGCACCAACGGCTTCACACAGGGGAGAGACCCTATGAGTGCACCGTGTGTAACAAGCGATTCACTCGGCGGTCGCACCTGATAGGCCACCAGAGAACCCATTCTGAAGAAGAAACGTACAAATGCCTGGAGTGTGGGAAAAGCTTTTGTCATGGATCGAGTCTCAAAAGGCATCTGAAAACGCATTCGGGTGAAAAACCTCACAGATGTCCCAGTTGTGGTAAAAGTTTTAGTAGACTGACAGCTCTAACTTTGCATCAGAGAACTCACACAGAAGAGAGACCTTTTAAATGTACTTACTGTGGGAAAAGCTTTAGACAGAGACCAAGCCTTGTTATTCATTTACGAATCCATACAGGGGAGAAGCCATATAAGTGTAGTCATTGTTCTAAAAGCTTCAGGCAGAGGGCAGGCCTTATTATGCACCAGGTCACTCACTTTAGAGGACTTCTTTGAGAATTGTCAAAGGCAGCAGGCTCCTACAGAAATTGACACTCAAAAAAAAAAAGAAATCTTAACCGACAGCAGCCTGTTTGTCTTGGAGGAATCTTTTCGTTTGAGCTTATGAGAACAGGTTTTAAGAACTATTTTAAAACCCCGTCTTCCAAAGTATATGAATTCTAGCGTATCCATCTAGTCTTGCAATGTTCCCAGATTCAATTTATTCTGTCTCTTACTTAATTTTTTTTTTTTTATGACAATGAAATCTTTTGTGTTCCGGGCCAACCGTATCATAGATATAAAGCATAAAGCATATCACGGATGACAATCCTTTTCAGGGTAGGGTTAATATGATGGATAATCGTGTCCACCAACATATCTCCTGTAGCAGCACCAGAATTATTCTGCTGTCATTATTTTTTTTTAAACAGCAACTCTTTTTTTTTTTTTTTAAAGATTTTATTGATTTATTTGACAGAGAGAGACAGTGAGAGAGGGAACATAAGCAGGCAGAGTGGGAGAGGGAGAAGCAGGCTCGCCGCTGAACAGAGAGCCCGATGCGGGGCTCGATCCCAGGACCCTGGGATCATGACCTGAGCCGAAGGCAGACGCTTAACGACTGAGCCACCCAGGCACCCCTCTGCTGTCATTATTAAAGGCGATTATATTCGTTCAAAGCTTTATGTGTCGTAACTAGCAAGAAAGGAGACAGTGTATTTTGTCAAATAATAAAAATGTGTCGGGAACACATTTGCCTGGTAAGAACGGGGTTATTTCCATAGAAAGTTTTTATGTTTAAGGAAATTAAGATTTTTACCCTTTAGTTATGAATTGTGCAGAGTTGGCTAGTCTGCTTAGTCGGCGGTCTGGGGTGATGCTGCTTAGAGCCGAGTATTCATTTGAGGATTTCTTTTGTTCACAGAATAAGTAAGCTCTTTGTGGAAGAACCCGTTTGACAGTTGATGTCATCCAAGTAGGATTTGATTTAATTTAGACTGACTGAGGAACCAGTGTCTGTTGCTTGGTACTCCTTTGGTATTCACCCCTGTGTCTCTCAGTGCTTTTAAAATTTTACCCATTCTTTAATTCAGTGTCCCCCTAACTATGTGTCGTAGAGCACTTAGTTCTACAGGATACTTTACAAATAACTTCGGGACTCCCTGCTGTCTCCACTTTCTAGATTCACGGTGCCCATCAGCATATGAGGATGTCTGAGAGGCCCTCCGGTAAAGGTGTGGCAAGAGCACCTTTTTTGGCTCAATGTTTTGCCAACCTATTTGACCCCAGAGCCCCTTTTCATGTACACCCAGTGATAACCCAGAGAACCAGTATTCTGCAGATATTCCTTGGAACACACTGTCTTTAACAAATATATCTATAGCTGTCAGTATAGTCTTGTCGCTCCCAAGCCTAGTTATCTCCAGTTGTTTCAAGGGTGTTATGAAAAGTTCTTTACATATATACATTTTTTTTTTTATGTAATACACACACACACACACACACACATCATTTTAAGGAGGTGTGAGGGTCACTAATTGAGATAGTTTATATGTCGCTCAGTGATTCTCAACCTCTTTGAAATTTACTTATAACCACACACACATATTGCTACTTATATAAACATTCTCATGTAATCGTGGTAATGACTCAAAGTCCTGTAACAAGGGAAGAGCTCTCTTTGTCAGTTATAGCTGTTGATACCTGAAAATATTCCTTCAGCCTACCTAGTTCCTTGTTGTGAAATACAAGAGGTAGGATATTCAAGTATTTTCCCTTTTTGAAGATACCAGTCATTCTTTCCCTAACCTAGAATTACGGAAAGTATATATTTTTTTTCTCTTCCATTGAAGTTCTCGGAAGTGATATTGACTATAAATATTTCGGGGGCAACTACGATGTGCCCAGCTAGTCCTGTTCTAGGCTTAATGGAAACCAGTAAAGACATTAATCTGTGAGTCAGGTGCATAAGGAGTTTATAATATCGTTAGTTAAACAAGAGTTGGGAAACACATGGAGAACAATGCAAGAGAGTTTGGAATTAAGTGCCAAATCATATGAAGCGCTAGAGCCAGGGTGTGTCTTTAATTCTTGTCATCCGGGTCCCTGTAAGATGCTGCTATAAGTGTGGGGTTAACGTTGAGATCCCAGTAGCAATAAACATGTAACGTGGGAGGAGTCTGAATGTAGAGATGAACAATACGGAATGTAATGGCTTCTCTTTTCTCTCTTGTGGACTTGCATTCAAACCAGGACAGTGCCTTAGAAAGGATGTGCCCAACTGCTCTGTATCTATGCAATATTTTAATAAAGTGGAAATGTGTATGCTCGTCCTGCCTCGATCACATTAATAATGGTTTGCGCAACTCAGAACCGCTTCCCTGAGCCGTGGCGACAAGCACCACAGTTGACCCCTGCTCCCACCCTACGTTGCAATCACTTTACTCCCTGCACGCATGGTGCTGGGTTTATGCATCATTCTGAGCATTTAATACAGTCAGTTTTAGCTAGGAGGCTTAGTTGCCGTCATCATACGAGCTGCATCCTCCCCGCCCCCCCCATCTATAGCATAAATGCACAACTGGATTTTGCAGCTTAGAAGACATCTATTATCTATTTCTTTGTTCTACTGTCATGTATGTAACAGGCACTAATCAATATTTGTGGCATTGAGTCAAGAAATATGTGAAATAATTCTTGGAAACATGTATCCCAGTGGATGTGCCTAGTGGATCCTATTGGATGTGCGTAGTTATATTTCTGAACATTTCCAAAAGGTAGCGTTTTGAAGGACAAAAACCAGCAGCCATCCCATAAGTGCTCTGAAGGTTAAATGAAATATGTATTGTCCAGGCCTGACACAGTGTAAGCTTTTCAAGAAATATTCAGGATATTGTCTTTTCATTCTTTGCTGTTTAATGATAAAAGCACTTAAGTTATGGATTTTCCTCTAAATATGGCTTTAATCCCATTCTATAGTTTTTTTTTTTTTAAAGATTTTATTTATTCATTTGAGACACAGAGATACAGAGAGAGAGAGAAAGCATGAGCAGGGAGAGAGGCAGAGGCAGAGGGAGAAGCAGGCTCCTCGCTGAGCCAGGAGCCCGATGTGGGGCTCGATCCCAGGACCCTGGGATCATGACCTGAGCTGAAGGCAGACGCCTAACCGTCTGAGCCACCCAGGCGCCCCCCCATTCTATAGTTTTATACATAATGTCCGTATTAGGATTTTCCAGAGAAACAGAACCAATGGTGTGTGTGTGTGTGTGTGTGTGTGTGTAGAAAACGAGAGGGAGAGAGAGATTGATTACAGGAATTGGCTCATACAGTTAGGAAGACTGAGAAGTCCCATAATTGGCTATCTGCTAGCTGGAGAGCCAGAGTGGCTGGTAATATAATTCAATTCTAGTTGGGACACGTTAACTCCTAGTCCGATGTTGTAACTCCCAGTCCAAGGTGGAAGACTTGAGAACTGGGGGGTTGCAGGTGTAAGTCCCAGATTCTGAAAATCAGAGAACCAGGAGCTTTAGTGTTCAAGAGCAGGAACAGAAGGACATCCCAACTCAAGAAGAGAGCCAGGGAATTTGCTCTTCTTCCACCTTTTTGTTCTGATCAGGCCCTCAAGGTTCGGTGCTGCCCACCCACTTGGGGAAGGCAGATCGCTTTACTCAGTCACTGAGTCAAAGGCTAATAATCTCTTCTGGTAACACCCTCACGGACAAGCCGAGGAATAATGTTTTACCAGCTATCTGGGCATCTCTTAGTCCAGTCAAGTTGGCACATTAAATTAATCATCACAGTGTTATTACTGATGATTTCAAAATTATTCGTAATTGCAGTTTTCATTATAATTCCTCTTTGATCCAAAGCTATACGATATTGCCATTTTTTTAACTTTTCGTTTTGCCACATTGTGATTAGAAAATGAGGTTCATTCTATTTCTGCTTTTAAAGTTCATTTAGGAAAAAAATAAAAGTTCATTTAGGTTTTTTAAAAAAAGATTTATTTGAGAGAGAGAGCCTGCACGTGCATGCGTGCAAGAGTGGGGAAGGGGCAGAGGGAGAGGGGAAGCAGACTCCCCGCCGAGTATGGAGCTCCGCGCGGGGCTCGATCTCACGACCCTGAGATCATGACCTGCACCGAAACCAAGAGTTGGGTGCCTTAACTGACTGAGCCACCCTGGTGCCCCCATTTAGTTTTTTCTTTTTTTAAAGAGGTATATGTGATAAAATTTGGTTAAGTATCCTAAAGCCCTAGAAAATAAGGATTCTAGATGTAAGGCAGACACAGAATACAGTCGTGTAGCTCTCGGTTACTTTAATGGGGTGTCCTTGGTGTTTGTGAAGGGGCAGTGGCACAGAAGAGGTTAGGTTGCTCCCCTTCTGCCTCCCTGCATTTTTGGACCCCCTGTTCCCTTGGTGCGAGGTTTTTTGGGAATACATTCTGAATGTCATATAGCAATTATTAATAGCTGACGAGCTATCAAGGCTGGCAGTAAAAGCAGGAGGCCAAAGGACCTCAGAGAGACCTAGCCTCTCTGCACCAGGCCGAGACTGAGCCACCCAGGCGCCCCTGCCCTCTTTTAAATGCCAGTTCTCAGTGGGATTGCTCCTTACACCAAATAACTCAGGGAGGCCTTTCCCCAGCCTACAATAAAGGCACTCAAGAGGACTGAATTTCTAAGTTAAAAGATTTTTTGTTTGCTTTAAGATTTTATGTATTTGACAGAGACAGAGAACACAAGCAGGGGGAGCGGCAGAGGGAGAGGGACAAGCAGACTCCCCACGGGGCAGGGAGCCCAATGGGGGGCTCGATCCCAGGACGCTGGGATCATGACCTGAGCCGAAGGCAGATGCTTAACTGACTGAGCCACCCAAGTTCCTGGTAAAAGATTGGTTTTATAGATATATTTCTTTTTTTTTTTTTTTTAAGATTTTATTTATTTATTCATGAGAGACAGAGAGAGAGAGGCAGAGGGAGAAGCAGGCTCCCAAGGAGCAGGGAGCCCGATGCGGGACTCGATCCCAGGACCCTGGGATCATGACCTGAGCCGAAGGCAGACGCTTAACAACTGAGCCACCCAGGCGTCCCTGGTTTTATAGATATATTTCTCTTTCACAACTTTCCTGCTGTAACAAATAAGCAACATTTTGGTCAAGAACCGATGATAAATGTGGGTGGTGACTGGCCCTTGGTCACTGTCAAGTCACCTGGTACAAGAACTTGGCTGCTACGGTTCACATGAGTGGTTTAGGCTTAAACTTTTTCTAAATACATAAGGCTTCAGCTTTTCACAGGTAGAAAATAACAATGATCCCCACCTGCCCAGATTTTTCCATTTTTTTTTTTTTAAGATGTTATTTATTTATTTGAGACAGAGAGAATGAGATACAGAGAGCATGAGAGGGAGGAGGGTCAGAGGGAGCAGCAGACTCCCCGCCGAGCAGG